CCAGGATTTTGGGACCTCCCAACTTAGGGTGCTCATCCCCCTGTTCAGAAACCCCAAAAAACAACAGTGACCGGTCCGTCCAACTTAGGATAGGCCCAACCCTCAAAACCATTCAGTCAGCCCAGCAAACATAAACAAAACACAACACTGAGCCCACATCAACTTAGAGGGGCTCAGCCTTGGGTTGGCCCGATCAAAGCATGCAAAACTCCCTTCATCCCACCTTCCCCCTGTTCATTCAATCTGGATTCACTCAACTTTATCTGAACTCTTATACATAGTTGTTCATTTAGTCTTTTTGCAAACATGTCCTGACATACATAGCAAAACAAAAGATAGTATCCTTCCATAATTATAGTCAGATACCCAAGGGATAATAGATGGGGGAAGGGATCACATGCGTCAAACGAGAATATACCTGAAGTTCCCTGCCCCCAGAACCCCGCCTGGGTTCCAGCAGAGCTCCCGCAATCGGTGGGGCGAACCTCCCACAGAGGCCTTGGCGCGGACCTACGGGTTGTAATCCCGCCTGCCGCCTTCCTCTCGTCACCTCAGATTAGACTTAGAGTAAGAAAGATAGGATGAGGTAGGTTAGACTCTCAAGATACAGGAGTGGGACAACTCAAACTCATAGTGAGAGGGCCTTGTTATCTGGATGCGCCTGAGGGCCCCGCAATGATGGTCAGGAAACCGCAGCAGAAGTCGATCAGAACCACGGTCGGACTGCAATACACGAATCCCCAGACAAGTCTTCAAATCCCAACAATGGCCCCCGTGCAGGGCCGGCTCACTCCTCTGAGCCCGCGGCCATGTGCAGTCGATGCTCAATGAGGTGCACAACGGACCTCACCAATCGGAAGCCCAACAAATCATGGGTGCGTAGCATGGTGGCGCCGCAATAGCTCAATAAGAGCACAACAACGCATTGAATGTGTGTTGTGGTAGCCTGTCCCCTCAGCGGTAACCTCCTTGCACCACCTGGTTACCCTTCCAAGTCACAACAATAGCAGTCCCGCTGTAAAGAGCTCCCCTAGTATACAACTTGCAACTGCAGCCTCCGAAAGAAAACAGTGACGACACAGCCGTTGTAGCAGCAGCATACGGTGCTCATAGGAGCAGCCTACAGCGGGAACAATGCTGTTTTCATTAGCAGTGCCTAAAGCAGTGCCCAGTACAGTAACAGCGCCCAACCTAGACCGCCGAGCTCATCCCGAAAAGCACAGTCGAAGTCGCCAGCCCGTGACGCCGAACTATGCAGTCAACTCCAAAGTCTGCCGAAACTGCGTGCGTAAGTACCGATGGGCAGCAGCAACAGTTCAGCCACCCGCTCGGTTATCATGTACGTAGTCTCGCCCGTACTAGTGTATGTGATCTGCCATACCCCCGTATGGCAAGGACTCAATTACGCCCTACGCCATACACAGTGGTATAACAAGGACGCAGCGTCCACGGTACAGCAGTTGTTCCCCACAGCCGCACATAGCTAAAGGTGAGCACAGTGCACAACAACGTCCTACTATGAAACTCAACGAGGTATGGACTGCATAGTAGGGCTGCACTGCCGCGGTTCAGCGAAGGCATACCCACCCTCAGCCTCTATGGTGTGGCCACTTGGGCTTAACAGAAATGGTAGCTGCTGTAACAGTCCTGCATAGGCTTGCTGCAGCACCCAGCAAAGCCTCATGGCCCCCAGGTAATAACGACCATCTTACCCAACAGTATACCCAAAGTCGACTGCAACAGTTGCCTCCACACAGTGACAACAGCCTTGAAGACTAGCAGCAACAAGTGAATTCTATAGTAGGTCGACATCCGTAGCTTGAGGCCTGCAGCAACTCCAAGTTCAGTGGCAGGATGTTCGGGGTCCCCAGTAGTAGTTACCATAGCCTCCCAGTTGCAACAGCCATAAATTGGGCAAGGTGGCTGCTCGTGGTGACACACCAGCACTGGTAGGACAGCGATTTGGAATCCATAGCAGTGAATCCCCACTAGCCTTACCTGTAATTGATCATTGACTACCCAGTTAGCCCCGATTCAGCAATAATTGCATCCTACTATAATAGTAGCCCCCTCTTTCTGAGTATCTAGCAACTGCCCCCCCACGTCCAGCCTCAGCGACACCGGAACCTTCAGTAGCACTAGTACCAGGGGGGATCAGTAGTTGCAGTGGTTTGGGACCAGCTGTTGCAGTACTGTGCGGAGTCACACAGACCCTCGAGGACCACAGCCTCACCTCATTCGAATGCCTTGTTCCTGCCTGGGCTGAAATTATGGCTACACTGCAGAAAAGAAAAAAAAAAGGTAATAATAACAATAATAATAAAAACAACGATTACTTGTGGTTGATAGCGAGTAGCACGACTCCCTAAACCATGATCATATCCCACCAGTCCACCTAATCAAAAAAGCTCTTCAGCCGTTAGAGCTCCCTGTGTCTACACAGCGTGGCTCCGCTCTCTCTTCAACGTCTCTCACAGCCTGCTCGCTGAATCCTGCCTGCAGCTCATGGCCCTTTACCGAGAATGCACTTGGCCGAAAACACGACCAACTTCATAAAGGAGAGAAGAAAGAGAAAAACAAAAAAAAAACAAAAAACAAAAGAAAAAAAAGCAATTTATGAGCAACCAGGTGACGTCGAGGCGTAGCACGTCAACGGCGTAATTATCATGGCCGTTGGAACAAAGAGCCTGGTCGTAACGCCCAGCCCTTTGAAACAAGAGTGAATCGTCCCCTAAGCACGGGAAGATACACCTCATCTCATTATTATTATTATCGTCATTATTATTTATTATTTATTACTTATTATTTATTGCTTCCTCCCCCTTCTACCTCTCWGATTTCCTTGTATCACTCTCGCTCCTCCTCACCCACTTGGTCAAAATCCCGACTGGGTAGATGCGATTTCGCAACTCCAAAGATGAGGAGAGGCAGCTAGACCCCGACGGTGAGCATGATGGCGAGTAACATCKGGGTGAAAACAACGGTCGTGATGAGGTCCTGGAGCAGGCGACGACGTGCCACACTCCGTTGCTCACCAAATGTGCAAAATAAGCATGAATCTACCGTGGAAATATGGCCCGATACACACCTCATACTTCCCGTAGTGAGGGCGCAGCTCCTACCACTCATGCTGCAAACTCTGCCCCCTAACTCCTCGATCTGACTCCACAGATCGATTTGCGAGGTCCTAGAACCCCGGAATCGAGTCTTAGTTCGCCCGTTTTCATTGAGAAATGGACAATTTATCTGTTTTCCCGCTGCGCCATATCTACATTTCCACCATTACCACGCACCCCCTGTCTCTTCTAACTCCTTTCCTACTACCCCGACGCCTAAACTAACTTCACCATCTGCATCGCAGTGCCCAAGAACCTCAGAATCGAGCCTTCACTTGCCCGTTTTCGTCAAGAAACGGGTGAGATCTGCTTTTTCCCACTCTCATTCCTCCCTCTGCCCGCCATCTCCGACTTCGTTTCTCCCACGTACTTGGCGCAAATTCGTGCCTAGGTTCATTTCACTTTCGTGGGCCTTCCTCCCCTGATGTGCCCGCCGTTGCCACTCTCCTCCCCACCTTGTTTCCTTCTTCTTCCTCAGCTCCTCGCTAGCGCCCAGTTTCCAGCCTACTTCTTCCTTGTGGTGCCTGCACCCGGTACAGCTTCGGGTCCGGATTCATCCGCCCTCCGCCTCGCTGTGCCTCGGCTCACCACTCCACTATGACCACCGTTCTACGCAGCACCGGGCACGACTTTTCGCACTTCTCATCTCCGGTTTCACCCCTTGTCCCTGGCCCTCCGCCAATGTCAACCCATCGCCACCCGTAGTGCAGCGATAGCAGCCGGATCGTCCGACTACCGTGGTGCGTCGACATAGAGTCTCACTCGACACCCAATGGAAGAAGTCGGGTCCCTCCCTGATTTATACGTGCCATCCTGCGTAGGCGTCATGCAACCTCCTCTGTATCATTCTATTTTAACCGATGTCCCAAAGGACTATGACAGGGCTCGGGTACTTCAGCAGTTCGTTAGTGCACTAGGCCGAGTAGGCTCTCGGGTCCCATGGCCGGTCCCGGAGACCGGTGCCAGCCTTGTCCCAAAAATAAAAAATAAAAAATAAAAAATAAAAAAATAATGATAAACACTCGGAAATAGATCGGGGAGAGGGCCATTGGTACTTGGTCCCCCCTCGTGGGCCCGTGGTCGGAACCTCGAGTAAAAACCAAAAGGCATAGTCCCATGGGACCCTCAACCCCTCAATCTAACTCCAAAGCACTCCTCCGCAGCTCCGCTGCTCGTTGCTGGCCTCAATCCCAAGATCCACCTAATATCAATTCAATGACGTAACCTATAGGGTTGAGCCAAATCCTAAGTTAGGTGTGCGCAGCCCTATATGTGAATAGTTTGGCCAGCCATACGGTGCCTCAGGCTACTTTTCCCAATCGTACATCCTGCGTCCAAGACCCTGAAATGCCGCACCAGGCTGCCTTGAAGGCAGGGCGCCGCTTGGTCTATCACGCGCGCCGCCTCACCATGCCGCGGCCGCGGGCCAAGGCTCTTAGGGCCTACCGTGACTGCCCTCTTACCGCCTTTTTGTCGGCAACCCCCGGCTTCGGCTCCAACTGAGCCTTAATCACGCCACCCTCACTTGGCTCTGCCTGTTAGGCGTTCTACTACCAATAATACACGGTCAAACTCTGCGCTCGCATACTCTGCACGGTGCGGCCTCGAACGTCGCCTACCGGGAGTCAACCGAAGTCCTTCTCTAGCCTCCGTTTTAGTTACTCAAACTCTGCACCGCTTGTAAATTCGCCCATTCGTGCGAGGTTAGAGCTTGCGCCACATTATCTAACCCGTTCCTAGCTTTAATCAAAATAAAAGTCTTTGCCGGCGGAAACGCCGACTTTATAGTATCAAAGTAAAAACCATCACGCGCGCCTCGAACTGCGAGCTCACATACTCTCTACTGCCAGTCACCCATCCAGTCAGCGTGGACAAAAAGCAACCGCGACTTCGCATGGTGTACTCAAGTTCCTAACGACCATACTTTCTGTCACTGGCAAAAACCAGGGCGGGTACCCTTATAAGGGTATTCGCGCCGACAGCGCCACTTCCTCCCTCAGAGAAGCAACAACTCGCTCCGCAGCTTCGGCTCTTAAGATCGCCTGCCCCTCTTTCATGTTTGCCTTCCCCACCTCACCCTGCAGACATTGCAGCTCCTCGACCATACTTGACACACGAGTGAACAACATTTCCCGCTTTCGGGCGAGCTCATGCGCTTGTTTGATGAGTCGTCTGTGGGTCAGCGCGAAATCTCCAACCATGTCCACAACCTTCAAGTTGACAATACCGCGCATCGGAGAAGACGACATTTTGCCACCACGAGTGCGTGCTCCCTTTAAGGAATCCTGCAAGAAAGCCATCAGGAATCACACACGCATATGAACGGTCGTCAGATCGGACTGCCGTTGCCATGAACCCGTACGGTGTGCGCACATGATAACAAAAAATTTAGAAAAAAAAATAATAATTAGAAACTCGCACGCACACATATGCAACCGAACACTACATATGTGGACACAAACGGACCGATTACAGACAACTGCAATGGTCCACCCATGTCACATGACGTCACTATCACCGACCATCTTTCTCGCGACCATCACGGTCACAATGTGTGTTGCCCCCCGGAGGAACACATGGCGGTTGTCCTACCATCGCACCTGAAAGCATAGCAAAGCATTGCAACAGCGTGTTGTTACCGTCCGCCATGGTCTTGTTCATTCCATCCATGGTGTGCGCAAAACTCCCTGCGAACTTGTCGGCATGACGGTCGTTCGCGTTGACAAGAGCATGTGCTATGTCTGCGAACGAACCTCCCCTTGAAGCGTCAACTGAACTCTCTGGCGCGGAACGCCGACTGTGCCCACTCCCACCCCCGGTCCGCCGAGACTTGGCACCCTCTCCGCTGTCACTATCCACTTTTCGCTGACTCCCTCCATTCTCACTACTGCCGCCGGTGTCTTCATCATTTGTGACCGTGCTCATCTGCGCTCTCTGCAGATTGACATTGTGCATCATGTCCTCACACGAGTCGTCCGCCTTCCCAAGATGCCATTGCAGAGCTTCAAACATGTGCTTCTCGTATGTCAACGGAAGGTCATTCTCCCTTTTATCCGAACGTGACATGTCCCAGTAGCTCGACTTGCCGGATTTGCCGCTGTAATCTCGAATTGTTTTTGCTTTGTCTAGAAGGGCATAGAACTTTGCCTCGCAGTCCTCCATCATGTCACGTTTCGGGAAGCCTTGTTCAACCATTTTCCCTATTATCCAATCGTACTTCTCTCGTCTCCCCCTGATCTTCTGCCTCCCTCGCCTGCTTTGTTGCGCGCAGTCCTCCTCAAACAGCAGCCTCACAAGCGCCATGCTCTCCTTGTCTGTCCAGTCCGGACCCTGAACTTTGGCCTTGCCCTTGCTTTGGCTCCCATGACCTCCCCCCTCCTCCCCCCTTCGTCGTCGATGTCGACTGTTGCATGTCGTCCACTTTGGGTCCCAGCAATGTCCATGGCAGGTTTTGTGGAAGCACCACCCAAGGCCTCGTCGATGATGGCCTCTCCTCCACTCGAATCATGAGAATGGTTGCCCATGGGGACATCAACACACCTGGCGTACGTGTGCGCCCCAGACATGGGTGTGGCACCACGGTAAACTCCGGTGTCTGAAGAGTACAAATTTTGCGGTCGAACTTCAGTGCTGCTCGGTGGCGAGTGTGCAAAAGACGGCGAAGAGTGACTCTCCATCCCCACGTACGTGTTTGGTGACCCCCCACCCACCCCTCCCGAAATGGAGTATGCAGGCACCGGGGGAGGACAACATTGTGCCCGTTCCCCGCTCACCCCCATGTTAAACCCATCATGTGTGAACCTGCCCTCATGTGTCACCCCCCAGTTCGGATAAGGTGATTGTACGCCTGCATTCAATCTTCCCGTTCCCACAAGCGGTTATCGGGTAGCTGAAAATTCAGGAACGAAAATTTTGAAGTGAGAGTTTTGGCCAGTCTGAAAATCCTGAATGGTCTTGAAGTGGTGAAAGGTCCGAAGACCCTGAAAACCACCTGTTTAGGCAAGGCTGCGTCCTGAAGTGGTGAAGGGTGTTCTGAAGTGGTCAAGTGAGAGTTTTGGGCAGTTTGAAAATCTTGAATGGTCCTGAAGTGGTGAAAGGTCCGAAGACCATGAAAACCACCCATCACCACTTGAGGATGCAGCCTGCCTAAACAAGTGGTTTTCAGGGTCTTTGGAGCTTTCACCACTTCAGGACCATTCAGGATTTTCAGACCTGAATGGTCCTGAAGTGGTGAAAGGTCCGAAGACCTCGAAAACCACCTGTTTAGGCAGGCTGCATCCTGAAGTGGTGAAGGGTGGCCTGAAGTGGTGATGAAAAATACGACTTTTGTTAACCTTCTCTCCCCGTTCCTCCATATCGCGCTGCTCCAAAAGTGTCACCTTACGCAAGGAGAGAGGTCATACTGCGTGGCTCTTTCCCGGGACTGTACACAGATGCGTGCAGATGCTTGAAAGTTGGCAAAGGTGGCAAACTGTTTGGCAGGGACGTGGCAACGCGTGCCATAGCCGATGGTCCTGTAGCGGCAGACAAACCTTCGAACGTTGGACTGCCAATACCTACGTTGGATGGCGGGACTTCCTGCAAGCCTGTGCCCATGGGAGCAGGCGACGGGGATGGTGATCATCTATGCACAGGTTGTCTAGAGTGATCCATACCTTTTACGGACACCGTGAGCAGATGTTGGTCTGCAATGTGCCAACGACGCTGGGCTCCACGGTTTGGAACTGGAGAAGAATGTGAAAGTGAAGGAACCAACTACGAGCCAATGTACAGTCAGATCCGACAGTCGTGCTGCTTGGCAAGGATCGAACTGCGCGCCACTTTACCGTGTGCTCTGAAAAGTGGCGAAGTGGCAGAATGCAGCGGACTATCCGAAAAAAGGCCACATGGCGGAAAGCGGCGGACTACCAACACGAGGCCACGTCGCAAAAGTGTCGCAAAAGCGACGGACTTCAAACCGGCGGCCACGTGGCGAAAAACAGATGTCACAAAGCGATGACGGGAGATGGCTTCTTCGACTGCCTTGCTTTGAACGTGAGTGTGAGGGAAGGTGCACATACGATAGTCGACACGGGACGAGCACTGGCAGTACAGGACAACAGTGAACGAGAGGGGCACCCATGGTGCACACTGCGAGCCCCAGACCGACTTGTCCGTTGGCCCGGTCGGCAAATTTTCACTGCTCGGGGCCTGTGTGGCCGTGTGCTCGGACATCGGCTGGCCGCATGCCAGTTCGCACTCTCCTCACTTCGCACAGCCCTTTCGCCGAGCGGACGTTCCAAGTGGCTGATGCGGACATAAAAAAAAAAAAAAAAAATGGAAAAGCCCGCCCTCTTTTTCGGGGAAGGGTACGGGGTGGTCGTCTTTTGCCTTTCAAAATAACTTTGTTGCCCGCAAATACGCCCGGCTTGCCACGTCCCGAATTATTTCCACTTCCTCGAAAAAAAAAAACCCTCTCCGCTTCGCGCGGAAAGAGGTGGGATCCCGAAATTTCCCTAAAAGTGCCTCGCCTACTAGAGGTGGGATTAGCCTCTAAGGACGTCGACTAGGTGGGAGTAGCCCCGTAGCAAGTAGGTGAAAGCAAGGTCGGGAGTAGGCGCGGGAGCAGCGCTGGAGTAGCCGTGGAGAGGCTGTAGGCGCGTCGAGTACCGACAACCCACAAAAACCCTTCCACAAATTCACTGAAAACCAACGAAAATTGTTGGGCGGGCCGTTTGAGGGTTGGGAGGGCCGTTTGTGGGCTGGGCGGGCTGTTCGACCGTGGGCGGGCCGTTTGACGCCAACCGGTACCTTTTCCTGCGAACGACCCAAATTGCAGGCCGATCACCACCCGCAGACGGCCCAGATCGCGATGAGAAAAGTTTGTACGTTCTCATCGGCCTGCAATTTGGATCGTCCGCGGGTGGTGATAGGCCCGCAATCTGGGTCATGCGATATGACGTTAGCGGTTTTTATATTATTGTAGATAGATGTAGATGTAGATGTAAATCATCCAAAGTCGAGAACAGAGATAGCTGAGGAAATGACAAGGGTGGAGCAGAGGTGAATCCTCAATGCCATTGTTTCAGGTTTAACAATGCCAGTGTAAATCATCCAAAGGCTCAACAATCAACAAGAGTTGAGGAAATGACAAGGGTGGAGCAGAGGTGAATCCTCAATGCCATTGTTTCAGGTTTACTAAATGGATCCGTTGGCAGGGGGGAAGCAACCGACATAGGCGAGTAGCGCAGTGCTCCGCGTTGGACCGTCGTCGTCGCTTGTTAACGGCGCTGCCAAGCCACTAACTCCGCCTTCAGGACGGAGAGGGGTTGTCGGCCATGTCCATCTCTTTAACAGAGGCGATAGATTATGACCGCCTAGGTAGTTCTGTAGTGTAAAGTAGGCTAGGCTTCATAGCTTACTTGGGTCTCGTTACAAGGGATATCCACCGCACGACGCTCGATAAAGTGCAACAAAAGTGGCAACAGGCGAATTGGAGTTCCTGAGGTGTGGGGTGAATCAACTTTCCCCTTTCATATCGGTTGTATTCGGTCAGAGCAGCCTCAGGGCAAAGGCGATTGTGGCCCGAGACTACGTGGTGTAATTGATACATAAAAGTCGCCCTAGCGCGAAGGAGATGGCAAATCAGGCAGTAAATGGGAAGTACATCCCTCCTACTCCATCGACGACAGTTAGGATCAATGAAAAGCTAAGAGAATCGGTAGGCAGATGCTATACTGAAGGAGTATGTCTGGACGACGCAACGCTAGGAGAAGTGGTCGAAGACGCGGAGGGCAAACGCTTAGTAGTCAACGGGCAGGTCAACGCCGTTAAGGAAGAGTGGTTAAAAGACCACACCGTTATAGTTTCTTTCCAAGGAGAGGCGAGGAACCTAATGAGGCAAATAAAAGAGGATCTAATTAGGGCATAAGAAGACGAATGGTTCGTGAAGAGACTATTTGGCCTCGATGTGGAGCGAGGGAGGGTGAAATTCGAGGGAGCCAATGTGGTGTCTTACATAGCTAGGTCGGAGCAAATTGCAACTTGCCTGCTTCAGCAAAAGGAATTCAAGATCAAGCTACAAAAGGCAGAAGAATACATTGTTACTTTTAAACCATGGCTCCCTCTGCAAGAGCTTACAGAAATTAAACTACGAAACGCCGAAATGAAATTTTGGATTATGACCTTGCGTGTTCCCTTTGAGTCTTTGACGCTTACTATTTCCTGCAAAGCGCGGTTCAACGAGTGTTTGGAGATGTCCTTTTGATGCACCCCCCTAAGTATGATAGCTCAAGACCGAAGCTGGTGAACGTAAAACTGGATCTCTCATCGAATGCACGGGAAAAGGTGGATGATGTCTTAACTATCCAATCGCCAATCGGAGAGAGGTGGAGAGTAGAGATTGGTACTCCATACACAGATTGGTGTAGAAGGTGCAAGTGGTATTTTCATACGGAAGTCAACTGTCCTAGGACTCGTCAAAGGGAGCAGGGAGTTGGGAACCTGGTAGGCAGACTCGGGGGATATAAGGCGAGGTTCTTTCAACACCAGCAGAGACAGGCAAGGCACGACAGGGCGCCAGCAACGACCATGGATAGAACAACAGCGACGCAACAGACTCGACAACAGAAAAATTGTGGAAAATTTCCATCAAGTTTTCAACTTGGGCACAACACTGAACCAACATTGGAACTACGTGAAATGATCTGGCCAACCATTTAGGACGGTTGGGTCCATGTTTCCAACCGTTTACGAACATGCGGCCAACATGTTTCCAACATGCGTTCAACGTTGGTCCAACATGTTTCCAACACGTTTTCAACAAGTGTGTGTTGAAAAATTAGTGCTCTTAAGCTCCCAGCAATGCAGTTCACTAATGCGTGGAAACGGCGGTGCAAGCGACCTCATTTCACCTTTGTGTGGCCCGTAGTAATGAACCGTGATATTCTCGTGGCTGTGCGGGTCGCGGAGGCGCACGGTTGAGAAAATGAATGGACGAGCTATGTAGTGAACTGTAATGTTATCGTGTGTTCGCGGGCCCGCAGTAGTGAACCGTGATGTTGTCGTGTGCTGGCGTTATTTACATTGTGCGCGGTGCACAGCGTGGTGTGCTGGAGCCGACGATGACGACAACAGGCCCAAAAAAACGAAGGCGTCGACGACGAGAATAGAAAAAAAAAAAAAAAAAAACAGAAGACGAACGAGGTACAAGAAAAAATAAAGCGCGCCGAAATGGTGGCCACGCGTCGGGACCAAGAAGCGTCGTTGGTTTTCTCATTTGACATAAACCTGGAAGGCTGTGCTTTCACTACTATTGCACCTATTGTCCGATGTGTCCGCCCTC